CCTCCAAAATGCTGAGAAATAAACTTTCTGTTGTTTATGGCAGTCTGAACTAACTAACAACATCATAAGACAACGCCTCATTAATAATACTTTCCAGTCATTTAATTATAGATGAACTAATTTCAATTCAAAACGATTTACAAAAACATCTGAATAAGAATCAGACAGGCCATATCATAGTGGATGAGAAACAACCTCTAACACTCAATCTAAACCACCACTGTACGATGGGATTTATTATATTATACTCATTTTCTCCCAGACACATGACTCAGTAGAAGTACATAAGGACTGGAGTCCCAAGGGAGTCATATGTGGATCTTCTTTCCCAGAGCAAACCCAGCCCTAGCTGTAGGATGGAGGCCAGAGCACTATTGGAGGTTACCCTGAAGCCTTTGTTTGCATTTGTAACCAAGTATATAAGTCTTCTTGAGTGCTATTTATTCTTTAACTTCTTACTTTAACGGTAGAGAAGTTTCTAAGGGTCAGGAATTTAATTCTTTAACAAGATTCTTCTTTTATCAGTTATACTGTACAGACTCCATCAGCCACAGGACTCACAAAAATAGAGTAGGTATGTATGATTAACTCAGTTACCATCTGGAATAATGTTGTCAGTACAGCCTAAAGAGAAGAGATTTTGAATCACAGAAAAGAGAAAAGGGGTTCCTAGTTAACCACACAAGTGTTAAATAGCAGTTTAAATGCATTCACTCACATAAATACTCATATATGCCTCTTTTCCAGAACCAGTAGGTCCCTGCAGCTGAATGGACAGTAACTTCTTTCATAATAATCACTTTGTTAAACAAAAGAACATGAATCATATAAACTATTAGAGGCATTTTTTTATTTCATCAAAGATATGAAAGGTGTACTGGTCTTTACCCCAAGTTAACATCTTAGAAGCAATTTTTTTCTGCTATTTCTGACAAAATCTTTCCTGACTTTCACAAAGGGTAATTGAGGCAACTAGTAAAGGGAGACAGTCTAAGACACAAGCTGTTCCCTGTACTGTTTACATCCTAAGCACATACACCCTCAGATTACACGTGACAAACTCTAGAAAGGTAGCTCCCTAAATTAAGTGAAAATACATATGGAAAATGTTATATAAATACTGAAAATTCTTTTAGGAAATTGCTTATACTGAAACTACTCTGAAATGGCTTCACTGAGTATGTACATATACACACAAACATGCATATGCATGTGTTATATGTATACATACACACATATACATACATGTATGTCCCACATGTATGTATTGATAATGGCCCTGAATTCTTGCTCATGCTGGCACTCTGCCACTTGAGCCATTATCCACTCCTCAGTGGATTGGATTTAAACCTTCTACTTTTACTTATATTGAGGATTCATTGTCAGAAACAGACTTAAGAAATGTGCTTCCATATTTGCAATGAATTCACACTGGAAATCTTACTGTTTATTCAACCCAGGTCCAGTGTACAGATTCTATAATATATGCTAGCCCAAGTACAAGAGAGAAAACCATACTTTTCTGTGAAAACTTAGAACATTTATTCTTGACATCTGAGCATGATGCTACTCTGTTACCTTTTCAGCTGGGTTTGGGGATATTGATATCTAACCCACAACAGTGGTGACTATCTCTTGACATCTTTTGTTATTTCTCCTTTCATATGTATTTATAATAGCTATGCTCAGAATTCATTATGCCTGGTCCATTGCCCAAGATGACCCTGTTTTTGTATATGCATTGAAAATACAAAATCTATGGATTTTTGTGTATGCATTGACAGTGGAAAACTATGGGAACCTAACAGAATTGTCAGCAAAAAACAAAGCTTCTTCATCCAAAATTTTATAGAGTGGGCAAATTTATACAGAGTGGTAAAATTAAGTTGAAAACTGTTTTCCTCATATTTGGTATGTGCTTTATATATGTATGTGAGAACCAATAAACTCATATATGTAACAATGGATTAAATCATGTGATCCTGGAGACAGAGTCAACTTTAACTTAGTTCATTTGGACACCTGTGAAACTTTGTGTTTGCATCTATCTACAAGTCTGATCTGAAGGTAATGTATGTTTTCAACTACTTCCTGTGATTTTTCCCATCTCTAAATTTTCTATTAGACATCAACCAATGGGCTTCATAGGTAAAACAGGTGCTTAAGGGTACAGACACTAAATACTAAATAAATACTAAATATTAAATACCCTAAGCAAAGAACAGGTGAGGTGACAAGGGGACCATGTGAGGCAAGATGATGTGTAGAGGATCACAGAAATTGTAAGCAAGAAGGGATCTGTCCCCTTTTAACTGAAACCCTGCCTATAGCCAGCCCTGGCAGAGGATGGTGGGATTGGACATGGTGTGCTGTTAACTATGTCCCTATGTGCACATGGTGATGTGAGAGGGGAGATTTCAGCAGACAGTGCATTTTGGGAGGGGGCCTTATGTAAGGAAGGGGCTCAGGTGACGGGAACTGGGGAAGTGATGGTACTCCCTTAAGGATGGGGAAAACCAACATGGAATTCTGGTAGTTAGACAACAACATTCCAGAGTCAGCACCAGACAGCTCAGGTGGTGAACAACCTTGGAGAGAGAAAGGTATTCTCTTGCTGTTTCCCAAGGTCCTGAGACTCAGTCTTCAGGAAACCCGGGCATGGGTGGCTCACTGGAGCCTGGATGTTGGATCCTTGTTTACCCTTGACTTTAATGCTGGAGGCCATTTTCCAAAAGGTACCCAAATGGGACAAAAGGTAACCCAGAGCAAAAGTATTTAGCCCAGGAATGTATCTATCATCTCAGGGAACTCTACGACTCAAATTTGTAGCTACTCTTATTCTGAATGTTAATATTAATTCTGTGGTTTTGTCATTTCACTTAATCACAGTGAGTCAGTTTGAAGTGTGATACCATTTCTAACTTTGAACCATCCTTCCTTGATCTCACCTCAGGAGTAAAACGAATCAATCCCAACCCAGGAAGAACCCTGTAGGGGAAGTACCTTGGAGCTAAGCATGGTAGAGAGGATGATGAACTTACTGGTACCTGTCCACCAGGAGGAGGATTCCTTTTGCATCCCTGCCTTCCTGTTTACCAGGACAAGTGTTAGACCTTCTGTGAGTTCCTCTTCTCCAAACCAAGGTAATGTTATCACCCCACTGGTGAAGCCTAGAAAACACCCTGTTTGTTTCAATGGAAGCTTCTCCAACAAAAGTAGGATGAGATCAGGAAGTCCCTTCCCAAACTTGTTTCTTTGTTGTGGGCTGTACAGGGCCATCTGTGACCTATAGGGGACACTTTCTTAGAAGCAGGACTCTGCCCAAGGTCTCATTTGCGGGAAGCCCTATGATACCATAGTTTTCATTAGTAAACCTGGTTCTAAACCCACTCTAGGAGGCCTCTGAAGTACTGGTACCAGAGAAAGGGCTGCATAGTAGATGTGGACTGAGGGCCCAGTGTCTACTCAGCTATCAGGGAAGGATCATGTTGGCTTATTCCCTGATGAACACGTGAAATATATATTTGTGGAGACAAATTCCAAGTTCCTTAGTGCAAAATGCTAGTAGCCATATAGGCAAACCTCTCAACCTCCCAGAATTTACATTCTTCAACCTGGCTTTATCCAGCCCACATAGATAACCTGGTAAATCAGAAAAACAGGACATTAAAAGATGATTTCCTCCTCTCTTTCCATAGGTAATACATATTTTAACCTACCTGTGAGGAGGATGAACAAGTAAAGAAGTGAATGGATTTGGGACAAAGGGAAGGACTCTCCTTGAAGAGTTGGCTGTATTAGAGATTAGGTTGGGAAACTGGTTAGCATACCAGTTGTGACGGGCCGTGGAGCTTCAAATAAATTCATGGAAACACAGCTCTGGGTAGGATTCTGGTCTACAAGGGAAAAGGGAGGCTGTGGGCTGAAATCCCCATGGAGAAACAATCTTACATTAGCCAGTCCTAGCAAGGCTTTCTGAGAAGCATCCTGGGTGGCACAGGGGAGCTGTAGAGAGCATTCTCCTCACATGAGTCTCCTCCCTCCTCCCAACAGAAGATTCTGTGTATGGGGTGGGCAGTCTCTGCATGGGAGGGAGCTTCCCAGGAAGGGTCTCTTTTGGGGTTGAATAAGGAGAGAGTAGGCTCTCATTCTGCTCAGTTATCCATCTGCACATGTTTGCACATGTGTTCCATGTTTGCAACGTGACTGGGCAAGTCCCCTGAGGATTTCTGTCAGTCTAAGAACCTATCCAGCCTGAGCAAGCTACGGTCTATGTGCTGCTCAACATGCCCTCCTTAGAGCTGGCAGTCCATGTACGCATCCTCTTCAACCAGCTAGAGGAACGAGAGATTGATGGGGCAAACAAACAGAGAAGAATCCTTAGGTAGGTGCCTAAAAACAAGTGAGTAGGGGTAGAAACTGGTCTTCCATGGTAGGAGACTCCCCTGCTGATAACTGGCTAGAAACCAATAGGAAAACCCAGTCTAAGATAACCTTACCTTCAGTGTCTTCTCTCTGTATGGAAACTCTCAGGTATAGGCACTCATTATGAAGACCTTAATTCTCCTTGCAGGTTCAGTCCCACCTCAACTTCTAGAGTTCCACTCCATTAACAGTGTGTCTCTTTTCACATTTAGATTGGGGGCTGCACATAGCACCTGTCCTGAGATCAAGGCAGAGGAGGCATCTGTGATGTCAGCAGCTGCAGTCCTGCAATCAGCCGCTACACTAGCTCCAGAAGATCTGGAGCCTCCAGAGGATTCTGGGTCTCACAACGGTAGTACAGTTCGTGTCATCTGTGTAAGAACCAGAACCCCCCCCCTCCCCCCCCCCCGTGGGGTCTCCAGCAGGTTCTGGACACATCACATTTTACTTCAGCTCTTTCTATTCTGGTCAGATGGGACCCGGTTATTTACTCTTATACTCCTAGCTACTCTGGAAGCTGGAATGTGAAAGGGTTGTGGTTTGAAGACAGCCTGAGCAGAAAAATCCGGGAGACTTTATCTACAGCAGCCGAGACACCCTAATTACCAAAATGGTTTTCTCAGGGCAAAGCTTGTCCATTGCATTCCAAATGTGCTGACTCCTGTGATTTCTTAAAGTGTGGGAAATTCCACTGCATAATGTGTGGCTGTGGGGGACTGCCCCTGAGCTCTCCCATTTAAACTCTGGATGGATGGCCATGGATCTTGCATATTTCTACAGAATAAATAATATTCATGTTGAATAGGAATGACTCGGGTCAGTCAACCCCGGGGAATCAGACTCACATCTCAGCAAAACTGCAGCAAACCAAACATCTACCTATAAATGGTATGGTGGTGACCCTCCCTCCTCCCGTCTCAGAATGTAAAAATCATCTATTGAGGAGAAAGGGAACCAGGGGGAGAAAGTGGGAGAAAATGAGGGAGTAGGTAACACCATTCACAAAGAAATATACTCACTACCTCACTTGTGTAACTGTAACCCCTCTGTACATCACGTTTATGATGAAATGTAAATTAAAAAAAATCATCTGTGCCTACCTGACAGGAAATACGAAAGGGGGGAGGGGGAAGAGGTGCCAATATGCCACCAAGACTGAGACTAAAAAAGTCCTGAGACTAAAAAACTTAGGCCCTCAAATTCTTACTTTATAGCTCCAAGTGACCATTCTCTAGGTTCAGGGAGCTCACCCCCCGATTCTCTATGGCTGACTTCCTCATTCATCCCCTCAGTGCAGCCATTTTCACCGGCAGCCTCCTTTCTCCCCTGCCCTTTTGTATATATTTTAAAATGTTTGTTATCTGTATTAACATTTTAATATAAAAATTGCAACTCTCTTTAGAAAATATGAATGTGAAAAACTGAGAGAGTTCAAGGGAAGAGATAATGTCCAAAAAATGTATTCTTCATGTCATTTAGATAACTATAACTCTTCTGTACATCACCTTTATAATACCAATAACCAATATTTAAAAATGACTGTGAGTTTAAATGAATTAATACAACTCAGAGCAATTGGAGATGTTAACCTGTAGTGTTAACTAAATATGCATTGTATAAATAACAGAATGTAAAGATACAGTTCATTTTTGTGGGCTCTAAAAATATATAAATAAATGATGTTGACCTCTCAGCAGGAAGACATTACTGGTCAGTGCTGAGAAGATTGGACATTCTTCAGAATGTAGGAGGGGCCTTCATTTTCTTCTTGGCCAGGAGACACATAACCATAAATCTACAAAGTGGAGTAGTAACCTCTCCCTGGAGACTGGTGGCATCTGCATTAGCTCTGAAAGCTCTGTGATGCACAGATATAATTTGGACATGACCCATGGCATCATATAAAGATAGCAGCTTTTTATATTGATCAGGCTTTAAAAAGGATGTTAGCCTTCTTGGCCTGGGATAACATGGACCTTCAGCACATTCTGTAATCAATTTAGAAAGTAAATTTGCAGACATGGCAAGTATGCAAAAAAGTAGGAAATATTTTGAGATGGCCTTAAAATCACGGAATCCCTATAAGCATTTTTTTTTTCCTTTGGTCAGTTGTGGGGCCTGAACTCTTGGCCTGGGCATTGTCCCTCAGCTCTTCAGCTCAAGGCTAGCACTCTACCACTTGAGCTACAGTGCCACTTCTGGCTTTTTCTGCTTATGTGGTGCTGAGGAATCAAACCCAGGGCCTCATGCGTGCAAGGCAAGCACTCTACCACTGAGCCACCTTCCCAGCCCCCCTATAAGCATTTTATCATAGGAAAAAGATAAGGTCAATGTGAGTAGAATTTCCAAACCTTCTTAAACCTCTCACCTCTCAGCCCATAATCCTCAACTTTTTCTATTTGTTTTAACTTAAGGGTTCCAACATACCTAACAGTGACCGTGGTATACTGGCTGTAGTCCTAAAGAAATCTAATAACAACAGATGCTGGAGGGGTGTGGCCAAAAAGGAACCCTATTTCACTGTTGGTGGGAGTGTAAACTTGTTCAACCATTCTGGAAAGCAGCATGGAGTTTCCTCAAAAGACTACACATAGAGCTCCCCTATGACCCAGAAATCCCACCTATGGGCATAATGGAAAGAAAAATCATATTAAGTGAAGTAATCCATACCCAAAGAAACATAGGTCCCATGGTTTTCCTTATTTGCAATAATTAGTCTACTCCTCGGATGAGCAGAAAAGCTCAAAAGCTATGTACATATGACAATATAAGATGACCCTAAACGAAATGAACCCTAAGATATGAACTCAAGAGGTTTCTCTTTGTCATTGTTGTTTTTTAATGTACTGTGTGATTTCTTTGTTTTTTATGTTCTTCGCCTTATGGTGTATCACATGTTGTCCCTATATTTGATTTTGGTACCTGCATCTTGTATAAACATTCCTCTAATTTGGGGAGGGGAAGAAGAATAACAAAATGCTTAAACAAGGACACAGGATGACCCATTGCAACAATGATACTATGTTGGAAACAAACTTTACAACTTCTGGGGGCGGGGAGTAGAGGAGGTGGGGGAGGCAGGGATAGTAGGAGGAAAACAAAGGAGGGGGTAACAATGTTGGATAAGAAATGTATCATTCCCTTACTCATGTAACTGTACAGCATCTTTAAAATAAAATAAAAATTTTAAAAAAGAGTTGATGGAGCTTGGAAAAGTACCTCCTTGCTGGATTCTGATGTGGACTCTTAGTCCTCAGAGAATAAGAGTACCACAGAATGACTAATCCAGCTTTGAACCCCACATTTAGAAGAGGAAGGAGGGATAAAGAGAACAGATGAAAGAAAAAGAATACTGTGAAATAAATTAAGGTGAGAAGATCTAAAGGGAGAAGAAAATGGTAAGAATGTCAGCACAATAAAGCAAATAGTCCTTTGCACATAAACTGGTTTATGAATCTTGGTTAATGGCTCTGTTTCAATTTGGTTTAATGTTTTTGGACCATGAAAGCATTCTTCTTTTGTAACATTTATCTAACGTGTTTCAGTGCAGAGATTAATAAAGAAATAACATTTATATATCAACCATTCAGGCTAATAAATAGAACGTTTAAAATCTTAGAAAAAATGTCAGCACAAGAAGAGACACATATGCAGGGAAATGTAGAATTTGGGAATGAAGCCAATGACTAAAACTCTTTTAAAATATAGAATTAGTTCAAAGACAGTAGAAAAAAATTATAACATGTAACAACGATTAAAATCTCTAAAATGTAATATGTAGAGATCAAATGACTGGTTTAAAATATGTAAATATTTCATGGGAAAAAGTAGGAGGGAAAGTAAATAGGCAACAGTTTAAACAAAAAATATGTGACCAATGTATGCAAAAATTATATATTCAAACTAGACAGTTTTTAAAAAAAAAACACAGTTCCTAAAAAATATTTAGATAGGTCACTAATGCAAAGAACAACTAAGAGGGAAAAGTAGAGTAACATTTCTAATTTAAAAATCTTTAAAATATTCAAATATGCTGTGCATGCTCTTGACCTAGCATTTATAATAAAAATTAATTTGCATGTATAAAGTAACTGTATCTGAATCTCTACAATGATTCTTTGTTTAATAATGAAAAAAATTGAAATAAGTCATTTTCTAATAATATGAGGTTAGTATTTTCTGAGTTTGGAGATCTTAAAAGCAGATCCTGAGGTGCAAGCTAGGATGCAGAACGTTTTGGAAGAAGTGAGATAAATGAGGTTTGCAGAAATGAGCTAGTTACGGCAGGAAACCACATTCTATCCTCCTGAGTAGCCGCTGCACAACTATAAAACATGCGTCTTATCACAATCCCAGCTCAAGAAAGGGACATTGGTACATTGATCCACTTACTCCCATCCCCCATTTGGGGAGGGATGCAGTTTTAACCCCCCCACATTTCTAGTTTTTGTCAACTTGTGTCTAAGTGACTTGTACAGTTCTGGAGAGAGCAGAGCAGAAATATGACATTGATTGTATGTCATGTGGATACTGCCTACAATGCATGGATCTATCCACCCCAGTCTAGACAAATCAGGATAAGCCAAGACATATTCCTACAGATTTATATTGTCATCCCTTGGTACTCACAGGGTACCCACAGAGGATTGGCCTCAGGGCTCCCTGAAGTACTAAAATGTGCAGATGCACAAGACTTTTATATTAATTGGGATGGTATTTGCATATAACCTATACACAACCTTCCATATACATTCAAACATATCTAGATTACTTATAATAGCTGATACCATATAAACAGTTGTTATACTGTGTTGTTTAGGGAATAATGAGAAGAAAAAGGCTGTAGATGTTCAGTACAGATGTGATCTTTTTCTGAATAATTTTGATTCATGTTCATATAAATAAGGATAAGGATTGACCACATACACACACACACACACACACACACACACACACACACACACACACACACACACACACACATGTTCATGCACCACATACCACACACATAAAATTCCTGACAGTATATTTGCTAAAAGTCACTTGGTAATTACTATCTCATATGATTTTATTTTTGCTCATGCTTGTATACCAGTATTATATTAGCATATCTATATTTTTCTGTAATAAACAGGATTTATTTGAATAATAAAACATGTAGTTTTTTTTTTATTGTGAAAATACTGTAGAGAGGTATTACAATTACATGGGCAAGATAATGAGTATATTTCTTATCAAGCATTGTAGCCTCCTCCTTTGTTTCCCCTTCCCATCCCTTCCCCTCTTCCCCCGCCCCCCAAAAAACATGCAGTTGTAATGTCCTTCTAAAAGATATTTTCTCTATGTTTATAAACAACATTAAGAGTATTAATACATTGACACACACAAATTATCCAATTATCCTAATTAACTTTAAGCTAAAAGTTAGCATAAGAAATAGCTACCTTGTATAGGCAGTTTTCAGGTTTTAATAGAAATATTTGAAGTATAAAAATCATTGGTAATTCTCAATTAAGAGGAAGTAGATAGGGGAAACATCCTAAACAAGTAACATAGAATAAAACCTTATAATTAATTCATTCTAGTGTCAATCAATCATTTGCACTGTCTACACCCCCCATTAACTCCTTTCTTATAATGTCTAGGCCCTTGTGCTATTATGGCATCCTCCTTATTCCTGTATTGTCTCAAGTACTTATCCAAGTGGCTACCATGAGTCAGTTACTCTGCTAGGCAT